AAAATTATGTGCATAAGAGAACAGCAGGTGAGAACAAATTTCAATATGCAAAATTTGTAGCAAAGTTCAGTTTGAATTTGCTCCTTTTAGAAAGAACAATAGGTAATGAACAATATTAGCATCTAAAACATTTAAATATATAGCTTAAGAGTTGAAATTGTGTTTGTAATCCTCAAGTACAGGCAATCAATCAAAGAAAGTTAAAAACAAAAATTGTCACCTTCAGAAATGATAGAATAAAGGTGGTAATGAAAAAATATAAAAACATGAAAAATTAAAAGCACAGACACTGCAAATGTAAAATGAAAATAAAATGAAGGGTAAAGACGAAGGTGAAGAGGTCAGATAGGAAAGGAAGGAAAGGAGAGCACAGCCAGAGCCGACCCCCAGTTACGTGCTTCCTCCGTCACGCAGTGGAAATCCGAGGAAGAGGGGAAAGAGACACAGTGGAAAATACGGGACAACAGACATCAGACAGCAGCCAGAAACACTCTGATACCTGTACACCGGGCTCACAGAAAATAAATTAGTACAACAGCAGCTTCATCGGGAACAGCCACGTGCATTTACATCTGTGAGGGTCGAGTTTACCATCACAGGACAGTTCCCAACTTTCTTCACCTCCTAGAGCATTTAAAGCAAACCTCCTGAGATGACAGGGGGTCCTGCGACCCAATTCCTTCCCTGTTAGCAGGAGAAAGAAGCAGAGATGATCAACGCAGGGAACTGGAACAGACTGCACCCGCTGCCACCATCAGAGTAAAAATAAGTCTGTTTCATCCAGACGGTGCGATGGGGGACTGACCCCTCCACCGCCTCTGGCCTCGGCCTCACACCCCTCAGTCTGCTGGGCCTGCTTCCCCACAGGCCTGGCTGGCTGCCCTCTCCAGGATGACCCTGGAGAGCACTTCCCCCCTGTGCCCCAATCCTCCAGGGGAGACCACGGTCCTGCCAGAGTAGGGACCTTGGGGGTGTCCTCAGATGCCAGTCGGGCCAGTGCTTGCTCCTTAGAGACCATCCTGACCAGATCTGGGATGGCTGGCGTGCCCAGGTGCAATCAAGCCCCTAGGAACTCGGCCCCTGCTTCCCTGAGATGAGAACAGGTCTGGCCCTTGGTACAGGAGCCATGATCCAGTGGGAGAAGTATCCCCGGAAGACTGCACAAGGCTTAACAAATATTAGTGATGTGTTTAAATTTACTGACTCAATACTTTCTATTCTTAATAAAGGAACACTCATATTAGAAAAAAGTATAGTAAATAGCTAAGTATATATCTACTTCAAATTAGGAAAAACAACTTAGATTCTACACATAAACTAGGATTCCAGTATCTTTTGAGCAGAGGTATTCTCCAAACTTAGATTTACCAATAAATTATTTTGCAATACTGAAATTATTTCATGTGCAACGTGATTTTTTATGTTATTACGATATCTACAAGGTCCTCGACTCATTGTTAATCTAACATATTTCCTCTCTCTCTCTAGTTTGGAGATGCCCTTCTTTCAATAAAAGCACGTCAATAGTGTCGATCTCCAACTATACCACAAAACTGGAATTATGAAAATAAACAAGCTAACTGCTTAGGACTTCTAAAACCCACTGTTAAAATCCCCCGATGCTGAAGTTGTGATGCTGTAGAGTGAAGGAAACGTGAGCACAGAATGATCTCGCTTTCCTTGGCCACCATTCAGCACTTCACATGAGACACTGCAGCAGTCAGGGCCTGCTGTCTCTTTAGAGGATTTCACAATCCTGGTAATTGGGTTCAAGATCATTTTGACAGTCTTGGCTTTAAAACATATTTGCAGAATTAGACAATAGTCACAACTGGCTAAATGCCCAGTTTGAAAACCACATTTCTTTTATCTATTATATAATGCTTTTTGCTTTGTCATTAATTTTTACAGCTGAAAGTTTCCTTATTGGACCAAAAAATATGGTGACTTTAATCATTTATTTTACAATCCACATAAGAATCATATCCATCCCCTGAGTTTTTACTCTTAGTATCCTGACCTTGTTTGTATAATACAGTATTTGCTTGTATTCTTGTAAAAGATGGCACTGAACTAAAAATGTTTAGCTTAATCTTCTTTTTCCCTACACACAAAGACACACTTAGCTATATATAATGCCAACAACAAAATGTGACATTTTTATGTGGGATTGTCACTGTCCTGTATTTGAGGAAGACAGGCAGTAAAACAAAGGAAACAAATGTATATTCACTTTATATGGTCATTAAGACATAGTTTAATATTAAAACAACATAATTTTTAAAAATATATGCATTAGTATCTCACAGCTTGATTATGTTGTTGGGGTAAAATAGTTATGTCAATGCTATTTTATGTGAATAAAGTTGCAGGAGAATCAGAAAATGTCGATAGGAAATGTATATATTGTTGTAGTATGTATTTTTAATAGTAAGTACAATGATCCAAGTAGTTTTCCTATTCATACTGTTGGGGAGTTGGTTGAGAATATTTTGAAGGCATCATTCTTAGGAGAGTCATAGATGGGTCAGGGATTTAAATAGCTATCCTCCATTACAGATAAATTTCCTTAGAAGATTAGATACAGTAATTCATGTAGGAAGTTCTGCTTCCGGTAAAGACAGAGGTTCTTGTCAGACTTTCCTCCGACAGATAAAAATTGTAATCTCTGGAGGAAAAATTAAATAAAATTAGGCAATTATCAGCAAGCAGCAGAGAAAGTCCAGACGCAGACTGAGGATACTGAGTGGAGTCACCATTTGGAAGAAGAAACAGCACGAGAAGAGTTTATCTTTTTATATACAACTTTTTCCCCAAAAGAAAGCAAGCCCATTCTGTGGCACGTAAAGAGTCACTTAGAAACTTACAGATTTCTTGCTTAAAGAACTGCAGGGAAGAGTTTTGTGGCTGCCACACAGCTAGGAGAGACCTCATAGAGCAAACCCAAATACTGCTTGTGCTCTGCTTCCAAATCCTCGGTCAGCTTGCCGGGAGATGTCTGGTGCCATTGGCCTCGAGAAGGTTTGAGCTTGAGCTGAGCCAGTGTAGCTGTACGCTGTTATAAACACAAGCAACAGCTTTGGAGAACGGTGACTGAAACGGTGGTCTTTGCCATATGATTCACAATGCCCAGAGCACATCATAAAGTTGACCTATATTGAAAAGGAGAGACAGTGGGGCTGAGATAGCCCAGCTTCTGTAGGTAGGAGTCCAGGATGGTGCTATGGTTTTGATGTAGAATGCTCCATCTTATGTAGTGACATGGGGCTTTGGAAAGGTGAGTGGATCCAAGGGGTGCCATGTTCACCAGTGGACCGGTTCATCGGTGAACCCACAGGTGAGGGTGCTGTTGGGAGATGGGCTGTTTGGAGGGGCATGCTCCTGCACAGATGTCTGCAGAGGGTGTAGCGCCTTCCCTGGCTCTTCCTCTCTCTCCTTACTTCCTGGTGTTCTGAAGTGAGCAGGTCTCCTCCACCACACCCTCCCATCATGATTTTCCTGCCTTGGGGCCAGATGACCAAGACTGACTCCTCTGAACCATGAGCCAAATGAAGCTTTTCCTCCTTTCAACTGTGGCTCTCAGTGTTGTGGGCAGAAGAGGGAAGGCTGGTAAAACGGACGGCGGAGCAGCTGTCAAGTTACATTCATGGGCAGAAGAGACAGCGTGCTTTTCGCGATCAAACAAGAAGTCCCAAGGGAAAAAGGGAATCACGCACAACAACCAAATGCTGACATGGCCACTGAAAAGCAGTATCTAAAGTGATTTATAATGGAAGGTCTTAATGTCTAATATGATTGATCCTAAAAACCAGGAGAGAGAGAGAGAGGAGGAAATTGTAGTTAAAGAACCTCAAAACCTGGAGAAAAAATAGCCCCTTAGCTTGCCTGCATTTAACAGCAAGAATAAAAGGAAATTACGGGAAGTTTGTGTTCCTTGAGTTAAAGAAGTAATATACTAGGAAAACCACTCTTAAGTCTTTTTTAATATATGAAGAAAGTGGTGAATCTTCTTTCTACTTTGATCTTTTCTTCTCCACTACGTCTTCCAGGTTGGTATACTCAGCTGAATGTATTCTGACACACTAGTTACATTAAAATGCACTCCACGGATGAGTACAGAACACACGATGTCAGATGTTACTTAGTTTAACACTCAGTCACAGGGCGGCAGTTGCAGTGCATGCTAACATAAAAGGAAAACTGTATTTCTAGCCTCCCTGAGCACTGCATTCTTTTTACATTTACTTCATGTTAGAGGTGAAATCCTGTTAAAATGGATATAAATACAATTTATAATCTGCAAGAGGCAGAAGACATGGATTTTATTCAAATTCTATGAATAACTTTGATAAAAAGTGTTTAAATAAGCAGGATGGCAAACTCTTTTGTTAGTAAATATATTCAAAAAGACTAGAAAACTTAATGATAGTGATACATCATTTTGTAGAGGAAACTATTGACACTGCATAAATCTAAACACATAAGCATATAAAAACTATATGTACATATATATATATATCTATATATATAGGAAACTATTGACACTGCATAAATCTAAACACATAAGCATATAAAAACTATATGTACATATATATATATATCTATATATATCTATATATATCTTTATTTTGGTGTCTGTCTCTACTAAAGATCATTATTCCAACTTTTATACTATAAAATATTTTAATGGAAAATAAAATGAATTAACTCCAGCCTTACCATTAGTATGATGAAAAGTGTCTATAAAACTGAAGTATCAAAATTATAAATGAGCCATGCAATTTTTTTGATTCTTTCAAGTGTTTTTTACCGGGTCACTTATAATGTAGTTACGATCGTTTTTAATTTAGTTACTGTCCAGTCCCATAAAAAGATTTCCTTCCTCTTCCAACTAAATATGAAAGTATTGCAGACGAATTGAAACAAAAATAGAGGATAGACCTGCTCAATAAATAAATATTTAATTTCTACATAATTAAACCATTACCTCAGTTTGATGGTTGCAGTACAATTGTAATGAGAAAAACAGAATAATTGAAATGTTTATATACATAACTATTTTCTACATCAAGGAATATTTATGAGGAAATAGCCATTTCTTACTTAAAACACCACGTTTCCTTCTCCAACAACCAGTAGAAGATATTTCCAGGACAGAAGTAATACCAGATCCACCATCAGCAGCCCCAGCCCTGCCAGTGGATTTAATTTATTTCATGCTTAAACCCCAGAAGAGTGAAGATTTCTCATTCAAAAATCTTAAACATATCATTTAAAAAAAAGATGGGTTTGGTGTCTAAAAGATTATTCATTCTAGTTTTATATGCCATTAACAATTTTCCAACTCTTAACCTATATTTAATTATAAAAGGAAACATATAACATTTAAAATGAAGTATTTTAATTTTACAAGCTTATGAGATGAAGTTTTTACCCCCCAAATTTATGTGCTCAATCCTAATCCCCAGCACCAGAATGTGATTACGGTTACATTGGTCCTTAAAGAGATAACGATGTTCAGATAAGATCATTAGGATCCCATGGCCTTAAATTTATGTCAGTATGTCCTGTAGAGAAACGGAAGCTCGGGTGCAGACACCCAGAGGAAAGACCACGTGGACGCAGAGGGAGAGAAGTCCTCCTGTGAGGTGAGGCCCAGACAGAGGCCTCAGGAAGCCAACACTGCTCACGTTAGAACTTGGGACATTCTGCTGGTAGAATGATTTACAAACAAGTTTCTCTTTAGGGAAGATTTAGGTGTTGTTACTTGGTTATAGCAACTCTTGCAAACTGAAACAGCTAAGCTTTAAGGAAATATATACAAGAATGTTCCCTGTTATCATGGAGACATCATTTTAGTAAGATATGAGTGTTTTCAACCATATATTTATTCTATTGCATATGTTCTTATATGTAAATGTTTGAAATTTCTATCTAAACTTCCATTACTATTTTATTTAAAAAGTCTTGACACTTTAACATGTGGAGTGATCCTGTAAGAGATTCATCAGCACTCAATTTGAAAGTCTGAAAAAAAAAGTGAATTCAATTTAGAAATATTGGGAAACAGTACGGAGGCTTCCAACAAAATTAAAATAGAACTATCACACAATGTAAAAAACACTGGGCAAATATTAAAGGAACGGACCTCTGTGTGTCGAGGAGGTGCTTCTGCCCTCCCACCTCGACTGTAGCGCCATTTTAGTAGCCAAGATACCAAAGCAACTGATGAAAGAAGGGAGCAAATGTGAAATACATGCAAAATAGAGTAATACGCATCCATAAAAACGAAATCCTCTCACTGACAAGAAGGATGAGGCTGGAGGACATCATGGTAAAGTGAAATACACCAGGTGCAAAAATACCAGAGTCCTTGAAGGTATGAAATCTAGACAAAGTTGCCATGGGCCAGAGATTGGGAAGTTGGGAGAGGCGGCCCAGAGAGCTGTGTGGACTTGCTGGCCAAGGAACTAAACAGCTAGGCAGGAAGAATAAGTTAAGCGACTGATTTCCAGCATAGTGCCTGGCTAATGAGGATGGATTGCATTTTGAAAAAGGCCACGAGTCGATGTTCCATGTTTTCATCAAGAAACTATGACTATGTGAAGCAATGCATAAGCAACTCAGCCAGATTTAAACATCACATGGTTTATGAATATTTTGAAATAGCAAGTACACTTGTACACTATAAAGACATGCAATTTTACTTGCCATTTAAAAATAAGTCAATAAAAATAGAAGTTTTCTTTAAGGCAAACATGCTGATTTCCAGGTGACTGTAGCTTTTACAGATTAAATTGAAAATTTTAAAACATAAAATGAAAAGAAAGGACATTTCTTTTTAATGTCTTTTAAAGGATTATTAAAGGATTTTAATAAACAGTCATGAAATTTGTATTAGAGCATTTGATGTTCCCATGTAATGTTTTCTTTGGCTAAATAAGAAAACTCAAAGTTCCAAAGTGTTTTTTGTTTGTTTTGAGGTGCTAAGAAAAAAATTAAAAAGTGTATTCCCAGTGAGCAAAGTGGAGGAAGAAGAGGATAAAAAAGTAAATCCAGCAAAAAAGCAACTATTATGTTTTCAAAAACTTTGATCTTGACATGAGGAAGTAGTTAAAGCATGGGTTTATAAAATGCTATCTGTTCAGAAAATGTTTGGAGATGCTTAATTTAAAAATAAAGCCCAAGAAATTTACAGATAACTTACACTGTTAATCTACTTGGAATTACTCCACATAGGAAAAGCCAAGCGAGTTTTTCTCTGTTGTTTGAAATTTGGGATGTAACTCTTTTGGAGCCTTTAATAACTGTAGCTAATAAAACCACCACCTCAATTTAGCAATAATTCCTAAATAACTTTATTAAAGAGAGCCAGGAGGGAGACACGGAGACATTGGAAAACATTAGCACATTGACTACACCATCCCAGAAGTCATGGAAAAGCAAATCCTCTATTTTTTATTTCTTAATGTTACTTTTTTTAAAGCACCAATCTTTGGCTTCTGTGTAGAAATTCATAGATATTCCAGAAAAGTAAAAGTGATTAATTTAAAAGGAAACTTAATATTGTTTTATGTCTAGTCCATTATTTTTCAGTTAAAAATTGTATGCCTCAAAGAATGTTATACTAGTACTCTCCTTAATTAATTTTGTTCTAAACTAGTTTTCTACTAAACAAGAAATTAAATTTCAACAATAACAAATAACATAGGTAGGCATATATTATAAAAGTCAAAACAGAATTCTTAACTTCAAAAAATCAAAAGAGTATGTACAAGATAATCATCATTTAGTAATCCTAAAACTTTTTTTTTTGGTTTTTCTCCGGTACCGGGAATCGAACTCACGACCTTGCACTTGCCAGGCAGGCGCGGTGCCGCTGAGCTAAACCCCCAGCCCCTAGTAATCCTAAAACTTGAGGGAACATCCCTGGATATGAATGACTTGTGACACTGCCAGAATCAATCAGGGGTCTGCACTACAGATAATACTCTGTTAGAACTGGGCATGTTTGGGTAAGAACAATTAAACAGTAAAGAGGTAGCATATCTTTATATTTTATCCAATAATTGGTATTAACTAAGACTGTTCAATGAAATTGAATGTTTAAGTATATTATTTCTGCCGTAGTGACAACATGGTGGTTCCATAAGCAGACACAAATTCTTAGTATCTTGATTCTATTAGTAAAGAACAGAGGAATGGGGAAAAAAGAAAAGGAAAGGAAAGAGGCCAAACAAATAGGTGACGATACCAAAGTCAGCCTCTGCATGCAACAATTTAGAAGTCTAGATGTGGCCTGTTAAAACAAATTTAGACACTGGTAAATCAAGTCAAGCATCAGAAATAAGATCTGTAATAGTAGAGGACTTCAGCTGTATTAGAAATCAATAATATCCTCCATACTGTTTGTTAGGCCAAACTGGAGAAGAAGGTAACTTTTCACAAAAAAACCACTTTGCAAAATCATGATTCTTATTTCTCATAAACAAAGATTCCTATCTCATTCTTCTCTTACACACTTGCAAATGCTGCTCATATTTCTAGGTGAATACATTTCCAGTTACTCTTGATCTCAGTGCACCCTGTACCACAAGTCAACCAACATAACAGGCAATTTGAATCTTGATTCCAAAAATAAAAAAAGACAAAGGATCAGGGATATAACTCAGTGGTACAGTGCCTGCCTAGCAAGCACAAGGTCCTGAGTTCAATTCCCAGTACCAAAAAATAAGAAAAATGTTTTAAAAAAAGACATCAGTGAACAAGAACAACCTCCTCCTCAAAGAAGTTTAATATTTGTCTGCTAGCATCAATGAATGAAGCTAAATCAAGATCAGTTATGGAAAATAACTGTCGTGCAAAGTTAGTCACACACACATTGAATACCATACAACATTGACTGATTAAGTTCAAGTCCTCTCATCTCTATTTTTCTATTGCCTACTAGGTAAACACTTGGAGAAATTTGTCACTACAAGTCGCTCTTCCCCAGCCTGTGATATGTGTCTGCACGGTCGCAGACCAAGTTCAAAATAGTAGACAAGCGCAGTTCTCCCAGTCCAATGTCTGTCTTTATCAGCCAGGCTGTATAATTTCTGCTCGGTCAAGATGCTCCTTGGTTCTTTTCCTTTTATGTTTTCTGTACCTGTGTCATCTCTTTGTCTCTCATTTCCACACAGATCTTATTTCTTTAGTCATTCCCATCACTACTGGTTCTACTCAGGGCTTCAGATTAATCTGTGTCATTTAGATAATATTGTGCAAAAACAGCTTACCAAATTTAGTACAAATGACTCAAGCTAGCATCCAAAATCAGAACTCAACATGTTTTTCAAGAATGAACCCTAACTCCAGGTGGTCAACCCTTTTCCTAAAACAAGGGCTGAAGATACTTCTCCCTAAAATATCATTGTCTCTTGAAGCATTGAAACCCTGCAATTTCACAAAGCATGGAATCAATTTGGGCATCTCTGTGAAGTTTTCATGATATTTCTAAACAGATCTGATTCCTTTTTTCCTCCCAAGCCCTAAAACATTCTTTGATGATGCTAACTATAATCTGTCTAGTGGCTGAGCTATTTTTATACAAATTTTCTTAAACTTGTGGGATACACCTGAGCTACCTCATCATGAACACACTGCTCGGTTTTGCTTTGAATCTACAATGAAACAGAGTTGCATGACTCACGCACAGTGGTCAAGGAAGCGACTGAGTGAAATTAAAAAGTCAGCAAACTAAATAAAACGCGGCCACCAGAGCCATGCCTAAGAGCCGCTGTCTGCAGAAAGCGGGGTGCCCGCTGAGGGATTCCCCGACCACAGTATGATAGGTCCCTCTGACTCATGGGAGCACGGGGGTGTCTGACGGGAACCAGCCCTGCGGTTGCAAACTCTTTGGAGCAGGCTATATTTCAAGAACTTTTATCAACAAAAATACTCTTCTTCATTCTTTTTCCACACAGGTGCTGACCACAGCGAGGAGTCCCGCATGACTCAAGCAGTGAAAACCTTTGTCCATATTCAGCGATTTCGTATCCAGGAGGTGGTGGCCGCCCTCCAGCCTGCGTGGTGTGAGGCAGGCAGGGGGAGAGGAGAGAGTGCCTGGCAAAGTGGACAAGTGGAAGACAGAGGACCCACAGCCCCGCTGCTGCTACCTCCCGGGAAAGGAAGGCTATGACTTCCGGCACCAAAGTAGATTTTTCCTGGAAAACGTGAACTTAGTTAGTGCTTAGATTACACGTAAATGGCAATAATGAATTTACATCATTACTTAATAAAATACGGGCACTGTGACAGAAGCCATCTAGCTTATTTTATAAAGAGCATTCAAAATAATATAGCACGTTTAAAGGGAGAATCATCTAATTAGTCAATTAAAAAATATAGCTAGAATTCTATTAAATTATGTTAAGTAAAACAAATGCATTCAATAGGATCAATAAAATGGCATAAATATTTGGCAGCAATTTACAGTTCTATATATTAACTGTTTCTACTAATTTGTTATTTTATATTTATGTAGTATTCAAAGAAACTTTGTAAAATGTCAAGGCTCTACATCATTTAAGTGATAACAATAAGGCAGATTCAAAACCCCCAGGAGCATAGCAATAAATAATTTAGGATCCATTACGGACAGGTGTGTGACCTGGGAGTTTGAGGCCTCTTTGTTTTATTCCTGGATTGAGTGCCACCCTGAGAAACAAAGGATAATAAAAGGTAATTGAATAAAAAGCTATTAGAATTAATACACTTAGTAAAACCACAGGGTACATATCAACATATAAAAATCAGCAGATTTCTACACAGCAACAACAAACTAGAAAACAAATGAAGGACACCCCACCCACGACAGTGTCATAAGATATTTAGGAATATGTGTGCCTGAGGAAGCCGGAGATGTGTGCACTGAAACCGTAAAAGGTTGATGAAAGCTATGGAAGGCCTCACCTATAAGCACGCCCTGTGTTCACAGAGTGGAATAACTGGTTTCACTAAAATGTCCATACAGCCCCAGGAAACCCAATGCAATTCCTATCAAATTACAGTGGCATTTTTCAAAGAAATAGAAAAAAGTCCTAAAGTTCATATAGAATCACAGAAGCACTCAAAGAACAAAAGCAATCTTGAGCCAAAAAGACAAAACTGGAAGCATCACCCTACAGATCTCACTAGTTCTGCAGAAATATAGCCAAACAGGCTGTGTCCTCAGGAAAAATACCCGCAGAACAGTGGAATAGAGGAAGGGCTGAGAAATAGAGCCACAGGCTCAGTAGTGAGTCTGCGCTCAAAGTCCAAGAACCCCGGATGTGAGGACGGTGGTTGCTGCTGACAGCGCCACCCAGCGGAAGGCGGGTGTTTCCTCACCCACCTTCTCCTCCGGATCAGGTACTGGGTGACTTTTGGCTTCTTCCTTAAAGTCAGAGTGACCCTGGAAGATAAACGTTTGGAATCTATTCAGGACGTTGAGAAAGCCACGATGGCACAGCTACAGACACTCACGAAAGAGGACTTCCAGAGAGGCTTCAGCACAAGGCAAGACAGAGGTGTGTGTTTGAAGGGCAGGGTGCATTCTAAAAGAGGCTGATAGCAATGTGGCTTCAAAATATGCTTTAAGAATTTGAGCATTCACTGTATTTTGATCATATTATGTAAAGTGATGTGTAGAAATATAATCTTGTTCGAGATGATAACACAGTCAAATATGTAAAGGTCTCAACACTGATGAAATAACGTAGCAAAATTGTTCCTTACTTGTTACATGGAGTAAGCAAAACTAAAACCACCATCTCCAGCCATAGACTTGTATGAGTTCAATCGTCACTCACAGCCACTCCATTTTCTCTCTTGTGTCCACCTGTGGGAATTTAGAATCCTGCTAGACCTGGGGTAGAATGATCTGAATACTGATCAACTGGAGTTTACAGAATAAAAAAATTGTAACATGTTCTTCTTGCTTTTAAGGATTACACTTCTGAGGCTACATTCCTTCTTGCTTTACATGGTAATATTAGAACATTACTTTCACAAAGCATCTTATTTTTATAATTGCAGTGACAGAGTTACATGTGGTAACTCCATTCATCCTGCTAATCAGTTCAGAGAGTAAGAAATATGGTTTATATACTTAAATATCATCCTTACCTCAAAGCACATGTATACAAAAGAAGGGGACTGGAGATTCACTTCTTAGCAGCGCTTAGCTAATCTAAAATGTCTGACTAGTACTATACAATGGCAAAAATGAAATTAAATTGAAAACATACTTCACACCTACTAAAAATTGTGAAGAAAATGTTCATATCTAGAAATAAATTTTTAAAACTATTTCCATTTGACATAACAGAGTCTCTGTCTTCTAATTTGGTAGCATTACACACACTAGGTTGTCAAAGACAAAAATAAACAATTTCTACCACATATAAAATGTACCCACGATATTTTGTAGTATATTCACTTTTGTTCATTCAGTTAGTAGTTAGTTCTGTGTTCCTAAAATACTATGAAAGCTAACTTCTTCACTGAAATAACAAGCATTAATTTGTAATAATTTGATTTTAACTAAAAATGCACCAAGGAATTCTTAGAGAAATAAAAGAACCTAAATTTCATGATGTATACTTTTATAGATTCAATAAATTGTACTTCTCCTAATCAAATTGTCTTATTTTCAAATGCTGGTCAACAGTACTACAACTTTAAAGAGAAATTTATTTAAAATGTCATTGCCTTTGAAGCAGTTCTGATTACTATGTGTTTTTCTCATCAGTGTTTACTAAAACAGTATCTGTAAAGAATTTTTATATTATAAACCAGGTCCTTGAACTTGAAAAAGTTTAGGTACTAATTTACTCCATTTCAGTAAATTCATTGCCTTCACAGATGCAATCTAATCTATTTCTCTTTTTGCCTTTTGTCAGGAGTTCCTAAACATCTGATTGTGATTAAGTTTTCATAATCTTATTAAAGTTACATGATGCTGTTTTAAAGTTTTTCAGAGAACTGAAAAGGACAGTAAGTCATGCTAACCTGAGACAATTCTGAACTGTTCTGAGCTTCACGGGAAATCCAATGGCCTGTCTGTAATTCTTTACCCTTTTCCTACCTGAAAAATGCCATTATTTTACACTTCAGCTTACATTGAACTACAATCAGCCAAACATTTAATTGGGAAATCACTAGTGTTCAGCTGCTGCTCAACACATGTCAAATATAAGTAATTAAAACTCAAGTACCCCCGAGCAAAACATTAAAACTTTTACATTTCAGAAGGGGCTCATTAAAACCAGATGACTAGCTTGGCTCATCGAAGGACTTGGCTGAAACACATCCACTCCAGATCCATAGTGTCCGTTGCTCACATCTCCAAATCACAGGCTCGGGAAGTCCTCCGAAGCTTCTCTAACCTCTCTTCCAGTAGTTTTACTGGAACGCCTGGAGAGGCAAACACCTCCACAGGTTCACATGCAAGAATATTCCACGACACCTTGTGCCATTACATTGTACAATTTTTCAGTAAGTAAACAAACAAAACCTTCAGTACCTTATTCTGCTAAACTCTCAAGATACTCTTAGCCATGCATTTCGGCCTCTCCCTAGTGAGTTAAGACGGTGCTAACCAGAACTGAGTCACGGAATCTTTGGTCTTTACTATACCAACAGCAAAAGCGACGTGTCCTTCAAGATCATAAGCCGGGAGAGACTTAGATTCTTCATAAAAGTATGGAAATAGCACCCTAAAAATTCGTAAGGCCCTCTTTTGGTTAATGTGCATTTTTACTATGTATGAGTAATTTAGAGTCAATGATTTAGTCAGTGATTATCAGGAAGAACGGATAAAGGACAACTAATTTCAGATTTCCCATAGACTATCCACTTATACGAAGTCAAGTTCTACCTGACATTCAACTCACCCATCACCACAGAGGATTTGATGAGGTATTAGGTAATAGCCTCAAGGGGTTTGTGAATCAAGCATTGAACATATGCATACTGTATTAAAATAATCTCATCATATTAAGTCACTTAATGGGCTTACCATTTCTGAACTCCATGGGGATTTATTATTTAGCAAATAACCCTAAAACCTACAAATTATAGGCTTGAGAAAGTACGCTCTTTCCTCCCATTAGCAGGGTACCAAAAATAATCAGTGCATATTCTTCCCTTTCTACCAGCCTCAAGTCAGTGCAATTAAGCAGCTAGGAACACAGTTTAATAAGAGGGTACAGCTTTATGACACAAAACTGGTGGGAGGAGAGGCCCAGACGGTATTGAGGCTCAGGTACCAGTGAGTCAGACTCCGTCTTCCTGCAGCTGCCTGCTCCAAGCGCTGTCTGCTTCTGCAGTTGGACTCGCTCCAGATAAGGACCCAGAAGACTCATTTTGCCATTTCAGCTGAGAAAATGGGAAAAGGAATCAATGAAGGTGTAATACACTTAACATTCTCTACATCACACACCATTATGCAGCGCAGTATCTGCTTCCTTCAGGCACCGTTCAGCACGGTGGTGCCTTTAACGCACGGGCTCTTTGTACTTCCCTCTGTGACTTACAGCAGGACTTCGGTTCGCTGGCTACCAGTCAGAATAGTTTCTCATGTCGCACATGACTCCATTAAATAAAGCACAAAGTTATGCTGTTACTTTAGCACAACATAAATTTCCTTTTCCTGCTGGGGCCCTGTTCCCTATAAGTGTGCTACTGTTAACTGCTGTGGGAATCTTAATCACAGAACACGCGTGACATGGAATTTATGTTCACTTAGTGTAAGCACCTATCTTCCATTATAATGCAAGCTATTTAGTATATTATTTCATATTAATTTAATAGGTATTAATCATTCAGTAATTTCATAACCTTTTCAATTATGGTTGATTCTTAGGTCCAAGCCAAACTGTGTAGAAAACCACATATCAAGCTATTTACAAAGTTATGTATCTACTTCAATAAATGCTCACCTTCAGACAACAGTAACATGGACCCTACAGTCTGACAAGCAGAAACATTTTTTCTTTATGTAAAAATTCCAATTCCATCTGACCATAACTTTTGAAATACCAATGGCAACCTGTCACAATGCATGCAGCTCAAGTTGACTCAGGCTTCCCTCCCTTAGCTGTCTTGCTCGAATCCTTGAACTCTGCATTTAATTAGTTCTCCCTTGCTGTGCGGCCACAGCAAGTTCTGATGAGGAGGCTGCTTCGGACTGCGTGAGCCCAGTACCTCTGAGACACATGCAGATCCTCAGGCTGTCCCCAGTGTGTCTGCTCTGCCTCTCCCTCACTGGGTGTTCCTTGGTTTTATTGTTGGTAAGCTTTCTCCGTGTGAGGAGCACGAACAATACTTCCACACAAGGGCCTGCACCTCCATGAACTCAGGAATCTGCTGTCTCCATGTTGTGATATGAGTGTCAAACCCTTAAATCCAATTCATGGCCCAGTGACTGTGGTCAAAGGGAGGAGTAACAGAATAAGTTGGGTCTAGGGAGGCAAAAGCGGGGGCATGAGCAGGACACTGGCCCTGCAGTCACCACAGTCACTGGAGACTCGGATCTCCAGGAAGAGGAGGAGTGGGCCGTTAATGTAGGACGTGTAGGGAGACGAGGAAAACCATGTCTCTTCATCACTAGTCCTAGCCGCCTGGTCACACACTGCGCATGATTCAGTAAATAACCTCGCCTAACAATTACAGTGCGTTATTTCACTTACAACAGAAATGCACTCATCCTGTCCTCTGGGCGCAACCTTGCACACAGCATTAGGTCATGCTGTTCTGCAGCCAGTGCCTCTGGCTAACGTGCTTGTTTCTTAAATCCAGATGTCTTTACAGCACCAAGGGAGAATTCTAATTATAGATGTAACCATGCCCATCCTACCCCACAGACAATGTTAGGGGAAACAAACACAGCAGTCCTATCCCAATTTTAAGAACTAAAGAATTAGTTGTAAACTCATCCTTCTCTGCATCACCTCCCTGTCCATTGCTGTCCACTGTCACACTCATGGGCCCCAGGGCGCACAGGGCCTGGTGCGTGTAGCTCTGCCCAGGGCACCTCTCACCCTGGCGCTGTCTGTCCTGAGGAAGCACAGGTGGGTGGGCTGCACACGTGCACTTCCCTAGCGATACAACTCTCTTAAAACTTACGACACCTGTCACGAGTCATTCAACATAATTCTACTGGACAGCAATCAAAAATGAAGTCCTGGCATGTCCCTCTTGTTAAGCAATGAATCGTCCTTGAATTTCCTGTGTCTCAGCCGTGCTGGGTTCTGGCAATGGCCCATCTACCAGGAGAATGATTTTTTCTTGGCTTTTACCTCAGGTCACGATGAGCGGGAGCCAGGATGGGGAGCAGAGGCCCTTGTTCTACACCATGGGCCGGACCCGACCAATGGAGATGTTCACACACATGTTAGCGAGGGCGTGTGTATGTGAAATGCAGACACACTTGTGTCTGACACTCCCTATACTCAGAAAGGAGAAGTGGTATTTCGCTCTTGACATTTTTCCAAGGTTTTCATCCTATTTCCTGCTCTCGTTTCTATCTCTTTGCTTTGTCCACAGTAATTGAAGGGCTAGAAAAAACTGTGCTTTACACTTGTATGCAGGGCCTGAGAGTCCGGTGTCCAGGGGCTGTGGACTCAGCTTTGTAGACTAAGAGAATAAGTCTACGTGATTTTTTCCTAATAATGAAAAACAAATTGAAGCATTAAAATGTTCCACGTGGAAAAAATGTCATTACCAGAAATATATAATGGGAAGTATTTCTCACTATATTCCTGACACTTGAATCTCTGTTTCCCGGCCAGAGGTGATCGCTGGAGTCTCACGGGTATGTCCACAGATGGTTCCTGCATATGTGGCACCTGTGGGCCTGTTATAATGCAGTACTGCTGCGTACTTAGCAGAGTGACTATAATAACAAGTAATGCACAACATTAAAGATGACCAAAGCATGAAGACACTAAAGATGTACGCCCTGCTGGCTGGAATGTGAATCATGCTCTGTGCAGAGGGTTTCGGAAATGGTTTGTCAGCGTCCGCCTAAGCTAAACCTATGTCCTCTCACAGCAGTTTCACTCCCAGATGTGGAGCCACCAGAACAGTGTGTATGTGTGCATCTTTGCACATGAGAGGTAGTGGATAACATTGCTCATGGCAGCTCAATGTCAGTGACCAAGAATTCAAAAACATCTAAGCATTTATCAAAAGTAGAATGAATAAGCAAGCTGTCATTTTCATACCATGGCACATACACCAGCAACTGTGAACAAACTATCACTATTTGCAATACTATGGATAAAAATCACGAATATGTTGAATTGAAGAAAGCAGACACAGGGTGAAGTTAAACCTACAGAAAGTACAAAAAAGGAGAAAGTAAGGAAGTAATCCAGATACAGTTAGAAATCCAGGTGGAGGTTGCCCTGGGAGGGTGGCACCAGCATCCTCGTGCTATTAGTCACCTCTTTTGGGGTCCAGGTAAACCTAGTTTGCAAAGACAGAAGGGCATTGTGTAAGTACTTTTCTGAATAAACTTAAACCTCAAAAGTAGTTGAAAAATAAGGTGAAAGCAGAAGCAATCTCATATGTTTAACAAACAGTTTAAGTGAATAAGATAGAATTCTATTTACTGACACAAATGTACTCTAACAGAGTTGTGTTTAAATGGCAAGAGTAGAGTAACTGATATCATATTATAAATAGAGTTCTCTTGTGATATCTTCATATACACGTGTAAGTTTATGTGAAATATTATTGAGATACATATTGAACCTTAATAGTTATATTAGGAAGAATAACATTCTTTTATTGAGTTAAGATATATTTTGCTCTACTTGTAAAGTTGTTTTTGATGACATGTTAATATATATTGTACATGAAAATGTGCAATGTAAATATCAAGTTATAAATGCGTGCACCCATTAATATCTCATACATATCCATTTAAAATAATGAGATCAGGCAGCCTAAATTCCACTGATGTATGAATGGGTAAACAAAATATAGTATATATGTATGATGGAATATTATTTAGTTTCAAGGGGAAGGAAACTCTACCACTTGCAATACCATGTAAGAAACTGAGGACTGCATTAACTGAAATAAGAGGATGACAAGAGAACCCAGATTCTATCCAATTCCATTTACACGAGCTATCTGCAGTAATTAAACTCGTAGAAACAGAAAGTAGAACTGTCATTACCAGTGCCTGGGATAAGGTAGAGAAAGAACATTTGTTTAACAGTCAGAACTTTTCAGATCTGCAGGAAGGTTTGCAGATCTGTCCCACAACAATGCAGACATATTTGACACTCTTGAAGTGCACACTTGAAAATTGCTGTAAGGGTAAACTTTGTTATGTGATTTTTTTTTTTTTGCCCCAATCAAAAAATGAAATGAATACACTAAGTACCAGGACAACAACAAAGATACATTTTTTTCTAAACTTTGTCTTAAGCATGTCTTGATATCTCTCACATTAATTTATGTACAACTGTCTCAATTACAACATTGTTATGGAAAATTTCATCACATAGCAGCATGACGAACCATTTCCCAAATCTACTGATCAAGGAAGATACTCAATTAGTATCCATGTAAATGAGAAAAAAATCCAACAGGAAACAATCTTTTTGTTTTGTTTTGTTTTGTTTTGTTTTTTCTGGTACAAGGGATTGAACTCACAACCTTGCACTTGCCGGGCAGTCACTGTGCCACTGAGCTAAATCCCCAGCCCCCCAGAAAACAATCTTATAGTCTCCATCAACATTTAAAATGCTTTGCACAGCTTCCTTTATTCCATTTTCCAGGATCATAATCTAGACACATGAGGGGAGGGGGCCAAGGTGCACACACAAAAGAGTTCATGGTAGGATGTTCCGTAACAGCACATTCTGCTCCATGTGAAGGAAGGAGGAAAAAAAGAGCACTGAACCCCCCTGGAGAAATGAGCAACCTGCAGGCATTTCTCACTGCAGGGTGCGTTCCCAAGAGGGGGTTATGCTGTCTTATCTTGCAACCAATAGACTTCAGTTTCCACCATAGAAAATGCATTCTAGATTCTTCTGAAGCACTGTGTCCTAATCTAAGGACAAGAGACCTGTGGCCTCTGCTTTCCTTAGAAGAATCTAGGTTGGTCTGTCTTCTGCTTTGAAACTTAGCATAACAGCATGGACATTCCATCTAGTGCATGCGTACATGTGTATACGTACATGTATATATCCATAGCTCAGTTCAAGTTGTGAGTTAACATCTGTCTCGTGCGGCCACCATACCTAACTACCAGCGGGCACCATGGACATTAACAGTGTCTCTGCTGTCGATTGTCATGATGACAGTTGAACTCCAGGCATCACAATAAGACAGGTAGGAAATAGTCACAGTATCAGAAT